TGACAAACTGATCTTGGCCGCGAGTTAAAAATCAATAACGCTAACTGTCATTCGAAGTTTGACAGCTGTCGTGGCGATACGGTTAGATCGCCACATGACCCCCCTGGTTGTTACGAAGCCGGTGCGAAGCGAACTGTTGGTTTTGAAATCCGTCCGCTCCGAGTTCTGGTTGGTAATTCTGTCTCTTTCGTTAAAGTAGTTTGAGGTTCAGTGTTTGTTTCTTCAAAAAGATAGGCCGGTTTTACTCTATCTGCCGAGACGGTAACCTCTTTTCCATGAATGAGTACCTTGAAAATCTTAGAGTTCCTTGAAGTTATCTTGAAAGATCCATTGTAAGGTGATTGTAGCGCACCAGAAAGGATGCTACGCCTGACAAATACATGAATCGCCGTTTCTAGGTCTTTAAAGACGAACGGAGCCTGATGACCATGCCGTCGAATTCGAGGTTGCAACTCTCGCATGCTTCGCTGTAATTGCTCTAACCAGGAGTTTGTCTGAGTTTCTGGAGACTGCGTTTCAACGAGGAATTGTCCGGGAAGCCTGGTGCTTTCTCCAAACACCAATTCTGCCGAAGTTGCTTGAAGGTCTTCTTTCCAAGACGCACGAATCCCCAAGAGAACAACTGGAAGTATATCCACCCAGGCCTCCGTCTGATGACACTTGATCGCTGCCTTAAGTTGGCTATAAAAGCGTTCAACCATCCCATTTGCTGCAGGATGATAAGCCGTGGTTCAAAAATGCGTAGTTCCAGTAAGCTTCGTCAATCTTCGAAATAAATCTGCTTCAAACTGTCGACCTTGATCTGTCGTAATCTTGAGAGGAACGCCGTATCTTGCAATCCATTCTGAGAAAATGAATCTGGCGATAGTCTCTGCTGTGATGTCAGGAACTGGAATTGCCTCAGGCCACCTCGTAAAACGATCGATGATGGTGAGACAATATCTATAACCTCGTGAAACAGGCAAAGGTCCAACAATGTCAATATGAACATGTTGAAATCGTCGAGAAGGCGCGACGAAGTTGCCGACTGGTGGTGAATTATGCCTGGAGATTTTTGATTTTTGACAAAAAAGACAAGCCTGAGACCATCTGCGACAATCCTTTTGCATTTCAGGCCAAACAAAGCGTTGTGATACCAATTTTACAGTAGCTTTTACTCCGGGATGAGATAGATCATGTAGAGACTGGAAAACTTGTCTTCGAAATGGATTTGTTACAAAAGGTCGAGGAATCGTTGTAGACCGATCGCAGAGTAATGAAGTCTGTGAGCCTGGAACATACACCTTCTCGAGCTTCAAAGCTGTTTCTGAGGATAGGAATTTCTTCAGCTCTTCGTCTAATTCTTGCGATTTGGCCAATTCCTCGAAATTAACGGNGGAATGAATTGCTTCCACTCGAGACAGCATATCGGCAACAACATTTTCTTTTCCAGAAATATGTTTTATGTCCGTAGTAAATTGCCCGATGAATTCCANCTGACGAGTTTGGCGAGGCGAACTTTTGAGCGGATCTTGATGAAAAGCGTAGGTGATCGGCTTATGATCCGTGTACACAGTAAAATGGCGTCCTTCCAGAAGATGACGGTAATGTCGGATAGCGATGTAAATGGCCAGCAGCTCCCGATCATACGGACTGTAGGTAGTTTGCGTATGATTCAATTTTTTGCTGAAGAATGCAAGCGGCTGCCAGTCTTTTTGAGAACGCTGCTGAATTACCGCTCCAATCGCTTTGTCAGAAGCATCTGTTGTAAGTGCGAGCTCCGCGTGCGGATCTGGATGTACCAGAAGGGTTGCTTTGGACAAACTTTCCTTGCAATTGAGAAAAGCACGGGAAAGCTCTGCTGTCCACTCGATCTTCGAACTTCCTTTTTTTCTCGGACCTTTGAGAACGTCGTGCAAAGCTGCCTGATCTTCTGCTGCTCCTGGTACAAATCTCCTGTAGAAATTTATTGTCCCCAGGAACTGACGAAGTTGCTTGACAGTAGCTGGTTGTGGAAATTCTTGAATCGCTTTTACTTTTTCGGGAAGGGGCTGCGTTCCTTCTTCAGAAACTGAATATCCCAGAAATTTCACTTCTCTAGCTCCAAACACGCATTTAGCGGGGTTGATGCGTACTCCATAATTATCCAGCCGTGAAAATAACTGGCGAAGATGGCTCTCATGTTCCGTGATAGAAGTACCTCATTAATGAAGTACCTCATTAATGAAGCGTTGAAAAGTCTGCGCTGAGTTTCGAAGTCCGAAAGGCATGTAGAGATACTCGAACAAACCAAATGGTGTGGTTATTGCTGTTTTAGGAACATCCTTAGGATGCATCGGAATTTGATTATACGCTCGTACCAAATCCAGAGTCGAAAAGATTTTCTTACGAAAAAGAGTTTGGGTGAAATCTTCAATATGCGGAATCGGGTAACGATCTGGAATGGTCCGAGCATTGAGTCGTCTATAATCTCCGCAGGGGCGCCACGCATTGTTCGGCTTAGGCACCATGTGTAGAGGAGTTGCCCAGGGGCTTTTTGAAGGCTGGATTACACCTTCCCGCAACAGGGCGTCGAACTCCATCTTGGCAATCTTGAGCTTGTCAGGAGCTAATCTTCGAGGCCGGCAAAACTCAGGAGGTCCGGATGTCGTTTTGATATGATGCTCAGTAGAATGCTTAGTCGTCTTCAGCTTTCCAGTCAGACGAACGATGTCCGGGAATTCAGCGAGAATTCGATGAAAACTCGTGTCTCCCAGGATGGCTTTGACCGACTCGACGCGTCCGTTGTTAGGAGTACCGCAAGTAAATAGTCCTGTCTTGCCGTCGAGAATCTTCTTATTCCGCATATCCGGAAGCAACTGAAAGAACGACAGGAAGTCGGCTCCGATGATCGATTGCGCGACGTCCGCGATGATGAATCGCCAAGTGAAATCGCGTCGAAGCCCGAAGTCTGGCTGTAGAGTAATGGTCCCATAGGTGTTGATCACCGAACCGTTAGCTGCGTAAAGCTGGTAGGCCTGAGACCTTCGTCTTACATGCATCTTTTTTCGTGGAAAAACGCTGACGTCAGACCCAGTGTCAACAAGAAACTGCAGCTTAGTTTTTCGGTCCGTAATGAAGAGGCGGCATGGTTGAAAGCTGACATCGCTCGCCGCCGCCAGCGACAGCTCTGCTAGTTTTCCGGCTTGTAGTTACAAGGGGTGGTACATTTCTTCGCCTTTTCGCCAAAGCGCCGATGATAAAAACAGGCACCCTCACCAGCCTTGTCGCGGGACTTGCTACGAAATTTGCCGCTGCCTCTGCTCCGAGATGTACTTCTGCTGCGTGAAAATCGCGCGAACTTTGCCACCTGCTTGGACAGCTCCTCGATGCGAGCCTCTAAAGAAGGCGAAGTGTCCTTTGAAGAAGCCACAGAAGTCGCAGCGACAACTGCTCTGTAGTTCAACTTCGTTGATCCGATCGGCTTGTTCGGCAATATCCTCGAGCCTGTCGTTAGTGCGTGGAGCGAGGATACTCTGCATTTGCGATGGAAGTCGACCGAGCCACAGAGTGCGAATCAGCGAATCTGGAACACTCGTTCCCGCAAGCGTCTGGAGATGGCGAAGAAACTGTGATGGCTTTCGATCTCCAAGCTCTTCGTGCTCTAAAAGCTGTCGAGTTCGTTGCTCCTGAGAAGTCGAAAGGCGTTTGATGAGCGTCCGCTTGAGCGTCTCGTATTTATCCACCGCAGGCGGAGCGACGATGACATCTTTTATTTCCTTGGCGAACTTCGTGTCGATCTGGGCGAGAGCGTAGGAATATTTCGTTGAATCCTGTGTGATTGCGCAGATGTGGAATTGACTCTCTAGCTGCGCGAACCAAAGCTCCGGTTCTTCCGGCCAAAAAGGCGGCATCCGCAGGGCCACTCTGCTGACTTGATCGTGACTTGGAGCATGGCGCGCCACTTGATCGTCTTCACTCTCTGCCATTCTGTCAGCTTCTGACTGCGCTGCTCCGTGAACCTCCAATTTATAGCGGTTCGTTGCCAGGGGTCACCAAATATGTGGGGGTAAATCCCCACTATTAACAAAAGGGTTGAACAAGAACAATTTATTAATAATTTCTTTTTTACAATTTCTTTTGGAGGTGTGTGTGTA